CCCCCCCCCCAGGGCTTTAACAATCTGTTTATAATAATTAGCAATAAACTGTAACTTCACTTACAGAATTTCATAGAAGACTAGAAAAATTTAATTACTTTGTTTTGTCCAGGTAAATCTAACCTGCAAATTCAAGATACTTTGTAATCTTATAGCTCGTATTTTTATATGCCAGTTTATAGTCTACTTGTGAGGGGTTTTTTTTTAATACATATGTATTTTAGGAATAAGTACTTGGTTAGTACATTTGTCTCCAACATTTTTGTTAGCTTTTGCTTCAAGTGAAATTCTTCCTTTTAATGTATTCACGTCTCTCGGTTGCATTAATAAGTGCTTTTTATGTATCTGTATTCCAGCTTCAAATCAAGGCAGCTCCACATAGTTCCCTGCTGACCTCAAGAAAGTGGCGATTCTAACTGTGGAATGAGGGCAATTTCAGTCCAGAAATCATTCCTTTGACATCAAATGGCTGAAATTGCCCAATGACTTTTTTTTTTTCTGAAAAAATAACAGTATATCTTTTGGTTTAATTCCTTTCCTTTTTGGTATAGATATTTGTATGCATGTATATAGATAAGCACATGCATATACATTATATAGAGTTGGTGAGCACAAATACTGGATTAACAACAGCGATTAGACTTCTGTGTTCAGACAGCATGAGACAGACTTTCCATCTGCAGAATTACAGATTAAAATGCAGATCAAGTCAATCAAGACAAAGTTCACATACTGAAGAAAAGAGTCTGATTCATAGTCCACAGAATCCACAGCCTAAGGAGACCGCTACTAGCCTGACCACAGTTGGTTTCCCTATTAACTGTGTTTAGCACAGAATAAGGACCAAACTATCAAAGATGAGTCAGGGTTGAGGTGTGGTGGGCAGGCTAATATTGGGAGTTGTGCTTTATCATATCTGAGGCTTGAAGGAAGACATCTGACTTCAGGACTGTCAGCACTTAATTTATATACATGCATACTCACTTAAGGCTTATTTAAAAAAATACCCTTCATATCACCTATGTGCCATTTAACTTTATTTACATGTCAACAGGAGCTGAGAAATCTAGCTACGTTTTTAAGCTTCTTGGTTCTTGTTAGATGCTGCTCACTTAATTGAAGTTTTTATACTGAGTTTTACATAACATCTCGTAATGATCTAATAGAAATATAAGCAGTGCTACATAGTTCGTTTGGGCTTCATGTCCTTGTGCTGTATTGCTCACACCTTATTAGTCTTCAGCAAATGTTCCACTTTTCTTTAGTTTTGGCAAGCTGCTCAGAACACCATTTCCTTCTTTTCATTCTGGTGGAGTCCAATTGTTCTTTGCTTATACTAGGTTAGCCTTTCCCAGAATTTAGCTTGGAGTTTTTATACACTGGGGAGTTTCCAATGTGTTTAGATTTCCTAGTGTGACTGTGACGGAACCATGTTTTCAGATAATACTGTCAAACTAGATTTTGGTGCTGTTTTTCTGTGTTTCTTTGCAGTATTTTGCTATACAGAAGTGATGTGTACAATCATTTTGTCTCCTGAAAGTGGTATTTTTCAAATCATCCTCCTAAATAGTTAGGATTTTCCCAAAACTTTTTCTTGTTCTGTTTCTCATTAGGTTTGTGTAGATCAATTGGTGTAAGCAACTTTCTTATCAGTCATCTTGAACAACTAAAGGAAGACTGTATGATTACTCCTCATGTTAATCAGGTGAGTGGATAAATATATTTAAAGTATCTGGGTTTAGGCTTTTGCTTTGGTTTTTTTGGTTAATAATCTCCTCCCCACCCCTGTGCCTGAAAGACTACACCCAAACTAGCCTTCATCATACAATTTCTTCTCTTTCATTTCTATATATATATTGAAAACCATTCAGGAAGATGGCCTGAAGTGAGGGAGAGGGGGAATTCCTTCCTCCTTTCTTTTCCCCAGTTTTTCCCAGGCTACTTGTTTGTGGCTGGTTTTAAGGCATAAACAAATGGTCCATGTGCCAGTTTTTGATGATAAAACAGTTTAGAAATAAAATTCAAGGAGCACTCAACATTTAGCATCTCCAGAGTGAACAAGGTTTTGGAGAGCCTGTGTTCAAATACTATATATAATTCCTGAATTATAGCAACACTGAAAAGCCTTAGATGATTACATATCCATGCAAGGGTGGTGTTTCCATTGCTCCCTCCTTATTTCATATTCATATTTCAAGATCACATTAAATTCAATGAACTTCTTATTTAGGAAGGTGCTGCAAGAGCCCTGGCAAAATTTTTTTGCTGCCCTAGGCAGATAAAAAAATGGCCACCTACATACCAGCAGACTTCCAGGACACTGACAACTATTCCCTTGTTGCAGTTTTCTGCCCACAGCTGTGCTGGAAGTTCATGCTCCCATTCCTACCACCTCCTGCCAGTGACAGTGTGCTTATGCTAGCACAGAACTGGGAACTGGAATGGATGAAGTGCAGGCACATGCTTTTCCCCTTTGCACAGGTGGTGAGGATTTCTGGCAGCTGTTTATGGTTTAATGTCATAAACAGCCACAAAAAGGTTGCTGAGAATGTGACTGTCAGAACCTAACATCTCTGATTTTTGCTGACCACTAGACTAAAGGTTACTAAAGGACAATTATGAGTAATGTTAAATTAAAGTAAAACCACATAAAATATTTAAATTCAATTATTCAAAACAAGCCATTAAAATATGTCTTAAGGTGGGCAGGTTGATGACTCTCTAAGAATCGGTGAGTTTGCCAAGGTTCAGTTGTGTCTCCGTTTCAGAAATAGACATCTTCAAAGTTGTTACTGTCTGTTAAATGAGAATAGCCTTTCAGTGTCCTACTAAATCACTGCAGTGAAAAAAAATGTAATCTTGGATTTGTTTTGAAATTTCCTCTTACCCACAATGTCAAAATGTTACCAATCTTACTGTGTCAGTAGTGTTAATGGAGAAAAGTTGTTTCTTCATACTATTTGACAGCATTTCTTTTCTGTGGCTGAAAAAAATTTGAGACGATAGTGATACTGGGGGGTGGGAGGGTGCCCTTGCTGTACTCTGATAGTAATGTCTTTAAGGTGATGCACAGCATTTTTCCAAATTGAAAACAAAAAACCAACAATGAAATACCCATGCCACTGCAAACTGCTCCGCTTTGAATAGTTTTGTTATAGCATCAATTTACACTTTTTAGAGTTACAGGAATCTTGTAAACCGCAGTTCAGGTTATCCTCAAAAGAGTATTTATTCTGTTTCTTGCTTAGCATTGGAGAGTTGCTGAGTCTGATGTGAGATTACTTAAGCATTATCAAATAACTAATGAATTCCTACATTTAAATTGGGAATGGAAGTACTGTACTGAATTCTTATTTCACTTATAATACAAAAGATCTTTGCTATATTTATGCATAAAATAGCGTACTCTTTCAATGAACTTATTTCTAATACAAAACATTTGCAAATAATAATTGTATACAAAGTCTAAATATTTAAGAAACAAGTGAAGGAAAATCACTTCCTTCTTAGCTGTGTTAAATTTGCATGAAGAATTTAGGGTGTTCTTACAATTCCAACAGTTCTTATGATGGTAAAATTGAAAGGTTTTTTTTCTGTGAAGAGGAGGAAGTAGGAAGGTGGGAGAAAGGAGGTTCTTTTTTAGACTTTTATAGCCTTTGCAAACCAGGTAGTAAGCAATGCTTCTATTTTACAAACCAAGTTGTAAGTATTGCCTTTATTCTTGGTTCCTGGAAAAAACAATATCATCATGGCTTTTAAAGAAGTAGGAAAGGCCTGTCTTTTCAAGAATATAGTAGTGTTAATGTATTTAGTAGTAAGTAAGCACCTTTTAAAATTGCAGTCTGCTATTAAAAATACTGTTAAACACCGTGTAAAATGATTATAAATATTTTATTCTAGTATCATGTAGAATGAAACCTACAACCTAGAAGTTACAGGTTTGTATTCCAGAGTGTGTAATTGACTTGGCAGTAGTAAGTTTGGATTTACACTTAAGGAAGTCTTTGAAGTCTCTTTGAAGACTCTTACGCCTGTCACTCATTAGGGAAAAAAATTAAATTTTATAAGAATTTAATTAATGTATATGTTTCATTTAATAAAGTGATACACTGAAATAAAATATAAACTGTTCCTCTCCGAATTCTATGTAGGAATGCTCATCCATATTTTTTCTACTTTTATAGAAATGCAAATTACTGTGTAATGACCTCAGACAGATTTAATAATGTTGTTAATATTGCCATTAATATTGAGCTCTGTTACGTAAATTTGTACAAGGTAGAATGTATTTTAGTATTTTGAGGCATTAGGAAACAACCCCTTTGTACATAAACTCACCTGAACTGTTCCTCTATAGAGAAAACATTTCTGGGCTTATATTTCAGTTTTATAAAGAGAAATAATTGTAAGACTGTGCTTTCCCATTGAGAGACTGACTGGAGTCCAGATGCAGGGAAACTTTAGCAGGTGAAAAGAACCCATAGCAGGATGGAAAGAGTAAGGCTTTTGTATACCATCATCTGAGGTATGACTTTATAGGTCCATGTCAGGCTGTTATTAGGCTCAACTTTTCCCCATTGCACTATGACTGTCATAAAAAACAGCGCTTACTTAAGAGTTCCCCTTGGCTGACCAAGTAGCAGCTGTGAAGAATTCTGTAACGTGAACTGCAAACTGTTCTATTAAACAAATGCCAGTTTTTACACACAAATCACTCGGGATAGAGTGCCAGAAAAGATCAAGATCTTCCTCTACCACCATATGATGGACAGCCCTCGCCTGAGAAAAGTTTGGTGACTAAAATAGCAAGGGTGGAGCAAGCCAGGAAGTAGGAATTATTATTTTGAGGGGAAGCACATGCTGGCCACTCACCCTATGCCTCTTCTAGCTCAGGATGCTAGTGCCTTGCATTTAGATGCTGCTAGAACCTTCCAGAAAGTTTTCACAAGAAAAATAAATTCAAAAGTGCTTATTTTATTTTATGCATTTGATTATTTTAGCAATATATTTAAGAAGAAAAATACTTGCTGCTACCAACACACAACTGCACGTGCCAAAATTCATTTCACAAAATTTGGGAGTCTCTTGATTCCGTGAAAGGCACAAAGAATAATCTTCCCAGGTGGGAAGTAGCTGGTGCTGTGTATTCTGCTTGTGAAACAGACAGGTGACATCTCAGCATGCTGTTCTTGCTTTAAATATTTCTGGAGTAACCTGGAACTGTGCTGCCTAGAAATCTTATTAGACCAGCAGGTAAATTCTGCTTGCAGTTATATTAGTAATAAATGCTGAATAAGTCACCTGATGCCCTAGGGGTACTGCAGTTTTTTCAGCATTTGATCCTAAATACATCATTCTTTATTTAATATTTTCTAGACTATGTTATGTATTACACTTAGTGTAAAGAACGTCTACTAAAATTGCCTATTAATACTGTAGTAATCGAGTGCTTGCTCTTTCTTTTTTCCCCTCATAGTTTTGCATAAAAACAATGAGAATATTTTCTAGTCAGCTCAGGTGCAAACAAGTGAATAACTGTATGACCTAAACACTGGTCTTACACATACAAACATGAAATAAAAAGGCTACTCAAAGGTCAAGAAACATCAAAGGTTGAAGACATGGATGTGTCTGCTGCTTGAACCTTGTTCCCGAGTCCACCTAGTAATTTAGATCATAGCAGCTTTAGGCTGACTCAGCCCAGCCTTCGAGGGGCAGTTTTTTCTTAGAGCATATTGAATGACTGCCAGCCTATTGTTCCCAACTATTGTTGTCTGAAAAGACAACATGTACTAAAGATGAGAAACAGGAAATGTTCATTTGTCCTCTTTGGGGCAGAAGAAATTTTCCAGATTCCATGTGTTGAGGTAATTGCTCAGAAGAGTATTTTTCTTCAAAATGCGCAAGCGTTAGATCACTGGAACAATGGTGATGGCCAGTCACAAAAATACATCACATGATTATGTATTTTATAAAAGAAAACACTACCCATTTTCATCTGAATGCTGAGGAAGGCATGCTTCTTACAATGTATAAACTCTGAAATACTTATTTAAATAACATAGTAAGGAATATTACAGGGGTTCTCTTTTGGCTTTTGATACATGCCAGAATACATGGCTCTTCTGAGAATCCTTACTTTCCAATAACTTCTGTTTCCTTTTGCTTCCAACAACTATGTCTTTGTAGCTTGTTACTTTTCCTCTTTTCACTGGTTCTTGGCAATTTGTGATCTTCCTTCCTACAAAGGGTCTCCTTCACACTTCATTCCACAGCGTGATTGCTTCCCTGCATAAGCTGTTGGTTACATCACACACAGAATACAGGATTTTCCATGTACAGTCTATGCCAACAGGCTTTGCTTCCGAGGTCAGGCCCTCATCCTAAGCAAATTGTTCTGGTTGGTCTCTTGCAAACCCAGTCCCTGCCCAGCCCCTCTCCTTGCCTGTGCAACTCAAAGATCATTAGTAAAGAAACAGGAGAGGAAGTGGATTTGGGGAAGAGAAGGTAGTCTCAAATCACCAGTAAAAATGACCTGATACTGACTTCCACTATGCATTTGCATATATTTCTCAAACATGGAGCAGAACAAAAGTGCAAGTCCAACTGCAGGTAGGGCAGACAACTGCTCCATGCATCTTACTTCTGGGGGAAGCATAAAATATGTAGTAAACTATTGTGCCAATTAATGGCAAAATGCTTGTGGATTAATATCCTTCACATGTCTTCTAAAGCTGATAACTTACATCTGTGTCCCAGAAGCAGTGATTTCACTCATGTTGTACTTTTAAAACAAAAGGGAAAAAATATTTTCATTTATCAATGATGTTTTCTACTAAATGTACTCTCAAGGTTTTTACTAAAAGTTTCTCTCTATTTATCTAAGGTTGAATACCACCCTTTCCAAAGACCTCAGGAGCTGGTCGATTACTGTAGGAGCAGAGATATTGTTTTTGAAGGCTACTCTCCGTTAGCCAAAGGTGAAGCACTCACTCATCCTAGTATCATTCAGCTGGCAAAGAAATATGGCAGAACTCCAGCACAGATTTGCATACGCTGGAGTATACAGGTAATGGAAGGTGGTAATAAAAACGTGTCTCCTCTCTCAGGAAAAAAATGCAAATAGTTCAGGTTTTGTGCATCCAACTAGAATTTATACAGAAAGTATTTTTGCCTTCAGTATGTTGATATTGCTTGAACTAACTGTGCTGTACTGGAAATTTGGAATGTAGTACAGAAAGCATGACAGTATTTTAAATATGCAAATAATCTGATTGTAGAGAATAAAAAGAACCACCAATAAAAGAGATGTTTTCAAACTAAATGTTTCAAGCAGTACGGGGCATCATTCCATTTCTCTCACTCAACACAAAATGCTAAGCAGTGAAATAGTAGTGTATTAAGTTGAACCACATAATCTGTGTTGGAATTTAATGCAGTGTATATAACTACAATTAAAAATAACATATAGAAATGTCAGTGTCCTGTGAAAAATTAGATTAAAACCTCAGAACACGAGTAATGTCTTGAAATGTTTTGAAGAGAGATTATTTTCTTTGAAACTATGTAAATTTTAATGATCAGAAGCATTATGTTTTTCAGAATGGGATTGTCACTATTCCAAAGTCCACAAAAACAGAAAGGATACAGGAAAACTGCAAGGTAAGATTTGGTTATGCACTCAAGTCTGACTAACGTTCACATTACTGTTTTTAATACTTTGGTTTGCCTGCCCGTTTTCCTATACCAGTTTTATATTGGGACAATTCAGTTAAAACTGGCAAATTATAGTACCATAAAATTACTACAGTATAGTAGAAAACCATAGTTCACAAATGTCAGAAATCAACTGGAGATCTAGATAACTGTGTATAAAAAAGATATGCATAGAAAGACCTTTCATACTTGATTTTTATTATTAGTATTTTTATTTATTACTTGGCTGTTCTAGAACATCCTAATCTGGTTATGGTTAGGTCCTCTTTGTGATAGGCACGTAGATCAAATGGAAGGAGTTTGTATGCTATGCATAACACTGTATGAAAGCTGTAGAACTCTCTTGGGGATATCCCAGATACCTTCTAAGGAAATCACGGTCCTGCCAGAGCTGACTCTTCCCCTACCTTCTTCCTTCTACTCGACTTGCAGAGAAGGTCCCAGCATGAAGGGGATGGACAAAGAAAAGTGGGGAATGAAGGAGGATTGGCAGCATGATTCTTCCACCCTTTTTTAATTTCCTTTTCATACCAAATGTTTTTAATTCATTACTTCATTTTTCTCTCCATTTCTCTAATCTGAAAGTGTGCTTTCTTTGAGGGAGGGGAGGGGAAACTACAACCACCTTATTGTTACTTCCAAAAATATCATAGGGGTATGAAATGTTTGGCAAATCAGGAAGAAACTTTGCAAGAAGATCGAAAACTTCTGTCTGGTAGTTAAATCACTCTCTGTGCGTGTGTGTAAATCAACACACATGTAATGAGGATTTCTCCTTGTGGCTATGCCTGTTTATATAGCTCCTGCCTTGACTATTTATTCTGATATGCACACTGCCTTCTGTGGTACAAGCACAGCTGTTTGTGGTACTGTATTGTGAACCAGATCAGAAAACAAAACCAGGTTAAAAATCCTTCCTTATTGTTTTTATTTTATTTTGTTTTCCCCAACGATATTTTAAATCCAGATTAATTGTGGGTTTTACAGACTTTACTCTATGGCCCCACCAATTCATTTCACACAACTGAGGGAATGCATTGTAGCAAAACTTAAAACACTTAAGATGGAGAGGAGGAGGGGAGAACTGGCACAGTTATCGGATGTTGTTTAGCACATCTCCCCTTTTTTTCTTTCCCCCATGCCAGTGTGTTGGCCTGAGTCTCTGCCACCTCTAGTCAAGTTGGTGAAAGTATGCACCTCATTAAGCCCTTAGTATGTAATATAATATATAGTTTTTCTGGTTCTGTGACTGATCCCTGGTTTAGGTTTAAAAAGCTTGTGCACTGAGGTTTGACTGCAAGGGTTATTCCAGCAGACAGTGATTGCTCGATAATGCAGGATGGGAGGAGCTCATTTGGCAGCAGTTCAGGCTCCACAGGATCTTTTTATTGAGGAGCTCTGACAAAGACAACAGACCAACTTAAAGCAACTTCAGTTCTGAAGTGATAATGACTGAATAAGACACCTGCTAAGAAAACACTGACACCGACAGTTCATGTTGTAGGTCTCACCACAGAAGAAGTCGGTGGCTCTGCATGAAGACAGGTGGTTGCTTTCAAGTTTGAGTTAGTACTGAGGCACTATAGCACTGTATCTGTTTCTGTATTAGCTGATCCATGAGTGTTTTGGCTAAGTACACATAGAAAAGATAGATAAAGCCTTTGGTTTCCTAGCTTTGTGAATGTCCTGATACCTTCTAATAATTCTCTTTGGCTAAAGTTCTAAACTGAACATTGGGATACAAGTGAAATACTGAGCTCAGGTTTCCAGAGGGATTGCAGTCAGGGTATACATATACCTCTGGCAGTGACCACATAGAGTGCTGTCAAAAACAGTTTTGATACTACCATTATGGCCAGGGGCCAGAGTGCTACAAAACCATCTTAACAGAGTCTACAAATAAAAATGAGTCACAAAAGGAGCAAAGGATGCAGTGGACCCTGTCAGCTTAATGGAATATTTGTCTATGACAAAATATAAGAAGAATTTCCAGAAGAAAAAACATAGAAAAATTCTGCTTTACATTTAAATGAATCTTGGTCAGTTTGTGTAACAGAAACACTCCTGATTCTTTCTATGTTCATGATGTTAACTAAATATGCATTCCCATAGGTGTTTGATTTTACAATAGCAGAAGATGATGTTGAAATTCTGAATGGAATGCATGATGGGAGACATGTTTCCTGGGACCCAAGCCTTATTGTGTGAATGAAGGTTTGAGCTTTTTCCTTTGTCAGTGATCAGTGAGTCACACCATATAATTTAAATTCAGGGAAGGTTACAATAAGAATATAATCGTAAGATTAATGTCTGCTATTAATGATAACTGATCTGAAATCCATAACATTGATAACAGACAAAAGATATTTTTGAGGGTAGCACTTTTGTACAGAGATCTTGCATTTCCGTCTCAAATCCTGATCTGTAGTTCATCGAAGCCCATGCAAAGCCTCCTGTTTATGCCATTGACTTTGCATCAGGCCATTTAATCAAAGAGCATGACGAGATATCCCTTCTTTAAAAATATAAGAAAAAATGTTACATACTAGTGTACAAGACAGGTGTTAAGTACGAAATAATTTTTCAAGTACTTTGTTAGAGGGATACAATGTATGAAGAAGAAAAAGCTGAGTAAAAAAATATGTTAATACCATTATTATTACAGTATTTATACTGTACAATATACTGCAAATCTCCATCAAAAATATAATCTTACTGTAATAAGCAATATCTGAGCATCACCAAAAAAAGTTTTATACATATTATTGCGTAATAATGGCATTGACCCAGAGAGTTCTATGCATATTATTTACTAGCCTGTAGATATAACAAAGTAGAAATCTTTCCAGAGAAGTCCATGTACAAATAAACTATCTGCATGGCTAAGAGTTGAGAGGCATCTTTGTTATTACTGATCTTTTTCTCTTACTGGAAATTCTGGTGAGTTTTGTGTTGCTTTTAGTGAGAATTAGTTTAGCTTTCATTTTGGATTTGTCCAGGAAATCTCATTAAGATACTATACTGTTCCTCAGATTTTCTTATAAAATATGTATGTATATAGAGAGATAGATGTAGATATAGATATATGTAGTTTACAGATCTGTTTTGAGAAATATGTCTGCAGATTCTTTTATCGGCTGAGTATTCAACTTCTAGTCACATTGGTTTGATATTTTAGGAGTTCCTGTGTCTAGAAAGGTATGGAAAATCTGACTATGATTTATATTGTGTGTGGACTTCCTGAGGCAGTTTTCCCAGTGCTGTTCTGCTTTAGTCATATCGTGAAACAAAGCTCCTTAGTTTTTTATCAAGAATTGACTTACAGCAATCATATATTCTAGCCTGCATTATTTGTCCTCAAAGCAGAGCTTCTATACAGCTTGGCTAAATACAGACAAACTTACCTTTTTGATAACAGCTCCTCAGAATAATTGGCTGGTTTTCCCTGGTAAACATTTCCACGAAAATTTGTCTAGATTTGCCTCTGGAATCATTAATATGTTATTTACTATTTTAAAATACAAGATATTGTATGAAATGCTGTGCTCACTAATACCTGTACAATGTAGTGTTCTAAGAAAGATACACCACCTCCACAGTAAGGTTATTTTCTAGAGTTTCAAGTGTGGCCTGCAGTTTGGGGTGCTTCAGTATCTGGGAATGCCATGTTAGGTGTCTCAGAAGAGCTATGTGCCTGGCTTAACTGTTGTGATGAGGGGTTCAATAGTTCCAAAAAGTAAGGCTTATTTATAAAATTAAGGTAATTTTTAGGCTTTTTTTAGCTTTTGCAGAAAATGATGGCAGTGACTAAGTGAAAATTGGAAAGATTGCCCAGAAATAAACCTTTCTACCAGTGGTCATCAGCTAATCCTGCTTTTGAAAAGTCACTTTATAAAATAATACCTTAGCAATATGAAAAAAACCTGTTACTGTGCTGTTGAGGGACTCCTTGCTTCACAGTGTATCTGAATTCATAAAACGAGGACTAGAAGTGAATCATGTGCCTAGTATTCACTCAATTTTTGACAGTGAAGACTTTCTCAGAAGAGAAGTTGGAATTTTACCTCTAGTTCCCTCTAAAGAAACAGACATCACACCAACGTACTATTTCCAACACAAATGATGCATACAATGTGAACCAAATCTTTATGTATGCTAGCAAATTCTAGCTTCAGTATTACCGGAAAAATATCAGTTAGGACTTGTTACGTGGCTAAAAGTCCCATGTTAGTCAGAACAGCTCTGTTTTTTCTGCACTTATTTCTGACTGATTACCTCCCTGTTCTGAGCTAAACAGAACTAAACCAGATTTTCTTGCTAATCCCCCACATAGATGACTTTAGGCTACAGTGAGTATGGCTTCCTAATTAATTCATGTATTGCATTGTTCCCTCTGTCAAAGAGATTTTACAATGGTTTTTGTGTCTGCATCTGCTTTTGCTAGGAAGTCAAGCCACCATTTTCTGTGATCTAGATCATGGTATCTAAGCAGTACAATGAGTAATGAAAGGAATAATCAGATAAAAACAGTATTACTAAAAAAGCATTCTTCTTAAGGAGCAGATACAGTGGCAAGTTACAGTTTTAATCTGAAACTTACTTTCCTAACTACCTTCAGACTTAATTGTTGTTGGTTCAGGACTTTTTTCTGGTGTTTGTTGTTTTTTGGTTTGGGTTTTTTTTTTTTTTTTAATCTTTCCTAGCAATTCCTTTGCTACCAGGTAGTGGCTTTAGAACTATGGAAGATTTTAATTTTAACTATGTACAAAGTCAAGTGTCATTTGAGGCAATATAACCTTTTTAAGTGCCAGGACTCAGCTGACTCATGCTATCTTTCTCCCAGGTGTGGTGTGCAGTTTTGCACATTGTGCCATCACTAATAGCCATTGTTTTCTGCTAGAAGCTGTAATTGCCCCAAAAGACTTGAACCCTGTTATCTCCTGTGTGCTTGGGATATATCACTAGAGCCTCTTCCTTTGAATATGGCATTCGCAAGTTTTATACTATGTTAGTTAATTTAGAATCATTGAGCAAATCCTCTTTTACTTTTGATCAGGTTGCAGAGGGAAAGACAGACTCAGTGGATTAATATTTTATGCTCCTCTCTGCAAATAAATTGACATTACAGATAGTTTTGTTTGGTTTTTTTTTAATGGTAGTTTTCTTTTTAAGCAAAGGCTGCTGAAGAATAAGTCCACATCACCTCATCTAAATGAACATCTCTAAAGTACTGACAACTTTGGTCATGGTATAAAGAAATAAGACAACTAATAAGGAATTGGAAAGTGAACAGTAGTGAGATGTAGGGGTAGCAGTGAGAAGTGATGTTCTGTAATAGAAGCAGATCTTAGAAGGCCAAAAGGATATAAAAGTGCTGAATATACAAAATCAGGAAGTTTAACTCCATTTTTTATTTCTTCTTTGGTCAGTTAGCCTGGAGATGCTCATTTTTTAGGATTTTTTTTTTTTTAAAACTCAGAATTCATCCCTCAAGTGGATTATTGGAATTATATGCATATTCTTCCTCAGGGCTGAAATTTATCCTCTCGTCCTATTTCTGTAAGACAAGCTTTCTCTAGAGAGAAAACTTTTTCACATTTCTACAATGACCATTTTTAAGATATAGCAATGCATCCATTTTATCAGTGTAACCCATCATCTTGCCAATAGGAACAGGGAATACACCTGAAAATTGAAGGCGCTTTTTCATCCATATTATGTAGGTCATTTGTGGTAGTGACTGACTGGGGCACTCCTTTCTAGTTGAGATAAACCATTATTTAAAAGAAGATACAATGTATCAGTGTTATCTAACTAAGTGTCATCAACTGCCTTTGGAGGAGCGCTGTGACTTAATGGAAGACAACTCTGTTGAAACAAATAAGGAAAGCAAAAAAATAAACTGAAAGGCAGTGGAAAGGGTGAGGCCATTTTCTGTGCAGCCAAGTAGCTTCCTGTCTGACTCTGCGTGGCTCCCTCTCTCCTTTTTCTTGCCTATTTCTGAATTTCATCTTTTATATTACTGGAGATGAAGGCACCTAAGAACGTTTAATTGGAAAATAATGGAAATGGTTTTGTGCATACTTCAGGAAATTTTTTTTAATCAGGCTGCAGAAGTGTTTCTACCACACCTGACCCCCAATATAACTTTCAAGACATTATTTTTCTGACTAGCATGTGTAATAAAGAAACTATAATACTAGTAAGTTCACAAATCCACTAAGCCAAGCAGACTGCATAATATTCACCCTTCTTTTTGCACTGTGGTTAACACCAGCTGATTTTCTTTTTAAAATAGCAGTGCTGAATTGTTCTGACAGGAAAGCTGACGTTAACCCCATGTTTTTGAAAATGGGGACAAAGGTGGAGTAGCTCTTGCTGACACTAATTGAATCCAACCTGTTAACTCTTTCCACATGGCCACATCCCTTCCAGAGCTTTGAAGCTCATCTCTGACTATAGTGCATTGGGTAAAAATACCAGATAAGCCAACCTTCTGGCAATTTTTCATGTTCGTGTGCCAGGAGTCTTTTTCTATACTTAATCTTTTGGCACTTTTTGCAACCTCCATTAAGATGTCTGCACTTCTGAAAGAAAACGTCAAGTATTTGCACTGCCTTGTAGTGAGCCTATGTTATATTCGTGATATAAATGATGCAGCCGTACTATTTGTCTTTATGAATGGCTGCTTATCCACATAGGACTAATTACAACTGCCAGGACATTATAGAATAGTAATGATTTCTAAGGGACCAGAGCATGAGCACTATCTCTAAAACTTGCCATTACCATTGGAGGGGAAAAAAAAAAGAAAAAGAAAAAAAAAAAAGAGGAGCACAAAGCCTGAAATGAATCGAAATCAATGACGCTGATACTACTTCCCAGTCATATAACACATACCACTCTCTAAACCATTGTAGGCATGGCCAACATTATGGGATGTGCTTCTCTAAGCAACTTTGGACAGATCCATTGTACCAGAGCTCAATCACTGTGCCCAAGAGGAGTATTTATGATCTTAATAGTGGCTTTGCTAGCCAGTGCCCTTTAAGAACCATCCTGTAGCTGAACTACTAATAGGAAATACAAGAGTATGTTAGCAGTATTATCATCCTATTAATGATTGCTCTATCTTTTTCTCCAGCAAAACAGATTTCCAGGACTTTCTAATGAGGCTTCAAAATTCCAGTATAATGAACTAGTCTAAA